CTCTGCCGCTGCCAATCCACCTGCACAACTGCTACTCCCCCTGCCCTGCTTCTCCACACATTCGCCCCTCTTTGTGCATCACTCCACATGCCACCTGCACACCCACTGACCCACTCCCTGTTGCCCCCCCCACTCCGCCCTCTCCCTCCTTTTCTCCCCCTTCGCTTCCCCCTTCTCCTCTTTCTTCTCCTCCCACTTCTCCTCCCCTTCATCTCATCCCCCTCACTCTCCACGTCAGAAGCACCCCCTCCCTCCCTATCCCCCTCCCGTCCTCTACCCATCCCAGACTACTTGCATCGACCTCCACCCCCTCTCTTTCGCACACCATGCGCTGCACCCGCCTCTGCCCCTCCCTCCCCTCCACCTCCCACAACGCCCCTCCCCTCACAACCGTACCCCCTCCCTGTGGGCTCTGCTGTGACAAATCTGCAGACGCGCCAAGCCTTGCCGCCCGGCATGGGTGGCAGGCGCACAGGAGGAGCAGCAGGGGGCGGGAGAAGAGGAGAGGCGCCACTTTGGAGCCACTGGCAGCTGCTGGGACGATGCAAGCGCCATTGTCTAGGGGAGGGGGTAGAAAAAGAGGGGAGGGAGGAGTTTGAGTTGACTCAGTCACTTTGAGCAGCTGGACGCTGGTGGGACGATGCAGACACGGTTTTCTGGCGAACAAGGGGGGTAGATGAAGGGGGCGGGGGTAGATACGAGTCGAAACAAAAGTCACCTCAAGGCACTGGCAAGTAGTGGGAAGATGGGGACGGGGGGGTGGGGAGGGGAGTAGATGGGGTGTAGGAGAGGTGTGGGAGGGGAGTGGGAAGGGTGTGGGACGGGTGGGGGGTGGGTGTGAATGAGGTGAGTCTTGGGGCACAGGGAAAAGGCGATGAGGGAGAGGGAATATACCGAGGGGGGGGGGGGGGGGGGGGGGGGGGGGGGGGGGGGGAAGATGCCATGACGCATAGGGTGGATGGGAAAAGGAAGTGACAGAGCGGAAATAGTGCCGCACTCAGCAGGAGAGCGAGAAGGAAGGGAAGCCACGAGTGATAGAAGGAAGGGTAGAAGCGAGAGCAGTGAAACCTGGCAACGATGTGGCACATGTTAGAAATATATATATAGCATGCTAAGTACTTGTGACTGTACACCAATTGTGGTGTACAGTTGGGTTGGGACTACACCCAACATTGGGTGTAGCCTTGCACTTTGGGGTGCCAATCCTACCCAATTGTGGTGGAGGCCCCAAATGCAACCCACTGGGCCATAGGGGTGAGCGCCGCTCGTCGTCACAGCCTGCTCGCCGCCGCCACCTTTGATTCCACCGTGGCGGCCGATTCGCCGCCACATGTGCCTCTCGTCGCCGCGGACAGCTCGACGTCGACGCCCCTCAGTTCCGCCGCCGCAGCCCTTCTGCCGTCGCCTGCACCCTTTGTCGTCGCGACCTGCACGCCGCCGCCGCCTTCGATCCCGCCACCGCGGTCCTTCCGCCGTCGCCTGTGCCGCTCGTCGCCGCGGCCTGCTCGCTGTCGCTGACCCTGATTTCGCTGTCGCGGCCCCTTGCGCCGCCGCCTGCACCTCATGTCGCTATGGCCTGCTCGCCGCCAGTGCCCAATCCCGCCGTCGTGGCCCCTTATGTAACGCATCGACCTACTTCTAACCTAACTTCCAAGCTAACTAACACTCGAGGCATTCATCGAGATTGCTCTCGATAGAAATTGTGCTACGAGTGAAGTAAGGGCGCGTGTCTTTTGGTTTTTATAAGCAAAACTCGGATTTTGGGTTGAACTGTATGCATTTGAACCTAGGTCGACCTAGGCTCGAGTGTATCCACATCTTCAAACCGAGTCGCGGCTCCAACACCCCCGAGAATCACAGGACACACAAAAGTTCACCTATTGAAGTTGAACTTTTGAGCCCCGGCCGAGTCGCGGCCTATTCTCGTAGGTTACCCGGTTTGGGTTGGAGTCTCGTAGGTTGCCACGTGTGTGTTGCCGAAGCCGGCACTCAATCTGACGACGTCGCTAGTGCGCACGATGCTAGCTGCGAGCGTCTCAGACTTCGCATCTTCGTCGTATGTGGTCAGCTGGACACACGCTTGCGTTTTCGTGCCAACATGATTGTTGAAGAAAGTTCAGCTTGGGATTCGTGATTTCAATACCCCCGATGTTGTCCTTGGACACACAACGTATTCGCGAAAAAAATTCGCGACGGTTGCGAAACGGGTAACCAGCAAAAGTTCAACCAAAAATCCGAATGTCTACAGCAAAAGACACGCGCCCTAAAGGTTGGATTGGGAAAGAAGGGTTGGGTTGGAAGGAAAAGGTTGGATTGGAAATTCCAAACCTCAACCAAGAGGATTGGAATATTCCAACCCATCAAAGTGGAAATCCAAAGGTTGGATTTCCAACCAATCAGAAACTGCCACTTGAATGTTACAACCTACTCTATCTTAAAAACAACCATACAAATGGTTCTAGGTTGGGTTTTCCCAACCCAACTATTTGCTACATAGGCTCCAAGCCTAGGGACCATCCCACCATGGAAACCATGGTTGGGAAAGTCCACCAAGGGTGTTGAGATAAGCGGTAGTCTTAGGAGCCATAGCTAGGAGAGTCCTAGCTAGGCAAGAGAGTTTAGGCGAAAGAGAGGGGTTGCACTAGCAAGAATGGGGATACAAATAGCAAACCCTAGAAGGGTTGTACTCGCTACAGAGCACCCCACTACAGGCTAGAGCATAATATTCTGACACACCCCCATAGCCAAAGTGGGGTGTAATCAGCAGAGCAAGCAAAGCAGTACAAGCTCAGGGTGGATCACAATGTCACCACACATTCTGAGCACAAGTTTAAGAAGCAATAGTTTAAAGTTCACAATTATGAGCAAAGCTAGTGGTAGTCACAACGGGCAAGTGAGGAGGAGGAGGGCTGGCGAGAGGAGAGTAGATGGGAGGCGACGACTGAAGCTGCAGTCACACGGGCAACAGACGGCTCTGGTGCGACACAGTGGCTACCGGGAGTGAGTGCCCCGGAGTACAGGAGTAACAGGCTCCGCGGCTAAGACGAGCAGCAGGAGCAACGGACCCACAGGCGACGGCGCAACCGGCTCTCTGAGCTACCGGGAGTGAGTGCCCCGGAGTACAGGCGCTGCGTACGACACGACGGCAACCTCCCCTCAACCTCCCCCAACAGTCCCACATCCCTCGACACACACCCGCTGCTACACCGCTAGCTCCACTCCCCCTTCACCCCCCCTTAGTACCACTCCGACGGCTCCAACAGGTCCACCCCCCTCAGCGGCAGCTGCAGCACAGGGAGACGGAGGAGGAGGAGGAGCAGGGAACGGCACACAGAAGCTGCACCCCCATACCCCCCAACCCCAAACCCTAATCCAGGAGAACGGGCAGAAGGAGGGGTGGGGCGCCTTCAGAAGCACGGGGGACAGCGGGGAGGACAGGGGCAGCGAAGAACGGGGCGCCCACGGGCCTGGCACAGCCTCCCGAACCGCGCGCAGGCGGTCCAAGCCGCGCGCGGGACTGGCGCAGCCCGTACGGGCCGCGCGCGTGCCTGGCGCAGCCCGTACGGGCCGCGCGCGGGCCTGGCGCAGCCCGTACGGGCCGCGCGCGGGCCTGGCGCAGCCCGTACGGGCCGCGCGCAGGCCTGGCGCAGCCCGTACGGGCCGCGCGCCGGGTGTACGGGCCGCGCGCAGGCCACGACGGGCGACGGGGGGCGACGCGCGGGTCCCCGTCGCCCGTCGCAGCGCCTCCCGGGGGCGACGTGCCGAGTGACGGGGCAGGAACCCGTCGCGCGCCTCGGGGCACACGGCGGGCAGAGAACCGCCGCGCGCCTCGGGGCGCACGGCGGGCAGAAAACCGCCGCGCGCCTCGGGGCGCACGGCGGGCTGAAAACCCTAGTTTCGACGCCGCGCACCACGGGGCGCGCGGCGGACAGGGAGTAGCAGTAGCAGCGGAAGCAGTGAAGTGGGCCCACAGGCCAGGAACGTTAAGCTCTGATGCCATGTTGAGATAAGCGGTAGTCTTAGGAGCCATAGCTAGGAGAGTCCTAGCTAGGCAAGAGAGTTTAGGCGAAAGAGAGGGGTTGCACTAGCAAGAATGGGGATACAAATAGCAAACCCTAGAAGGGTTGTACTCGCTATAGAGCACCCCACTACAGGCTAGAGCATAATATTCTGACAAAGGGGTGTATTGAGGGGGTTTGAGCTAACCAAGCTCATTCTCAACCTCCCACTCCAACTAAACAATTGGAAATGGGATTGTTTCTCTAAGTCTTGGTTGGTTCTCTCACAAGCCTTCCTACACAATTCTCTCAAGCTATTTCAACAACTCCTTCAAGAAGATTGACACCTCCAAGGCTCTTGGGAGCTAGTTAGAGCTTCATCTTGTATTGGATCTATTATAAAAGTCTTGTAACTCCATTATAATAGCCTTGGGTGTTACATTGGTATCTAGAGCAAGGTTCTTTCTTGGCCTTGTGTGGCCATTTGCTACTTGGATTATTTTTTTTTAGAGGATCCTAGCTTGGGGACCTAGGATTTCATCCAAGGAGATATCAAGATCTTGAAGATATTGAAGAAATTTCAAGATCTACAAGTGGTTCTTCAAGATCTACAAAAGTTTCTACAAAATCTCCAAACTTCAAGCTTCAATTTCTTCAACACATCATTAGAGCTTGCAAGATCTACAAGCATCTTGGTCTTCTTCACCAACTTTGAGAAGAAATTTGAAGAGAAATTTATTTCTCTTACCCACCTTTTGGTGGAAGACTCTAAACCACCTTTGGTGGAAGAGTATCTTCAGATCTACAAGAACTTGTTGATGATTACTCTTTTGAGTATATCTTTCCAAATCATTGAGGTGATAGGGAGATTTAGCAAACAAGTCAATCTTAAGAGATTCTGTATTGGATTATTCTATAAGAGTAATCAGATTTCTTAAATATTATTAAAGGATCTGTTGAGATCTCCTCTCCTTAACCTATTTCATGGCTTCTGGTCAAGAGATGGATGCTACTAAGGAGGTGCCCATTGCTGGCAATGAGGGAGATAATGCTGCTGCTGCTGCTGACATTGATCTCAACCTTGAGGATTTCGTGGTTGACATGGAGATCAATGGAAGTGAAGCTGACCTTGATGCTGATGCTGAAAATGAGGATGGGGCTGGCTCTGACGAGGGTGTTTCCAATGAGACTGAGGACATCGCTGTTAAGCTCCAGACTCAAATCACAGAGCAGAATATCCTCATTGGGGAGCAGCAGTGCCGCATCCAAAACTTGGAGGCTGATTCTGTGAAGCTTCAGGCCTTGATTGAGCAGCTGACCAGGGAGGTGCAGTTGATTCCTAAGGGAAACGACACCTCCAGCTTCATTCAGGACCTGCAGACCACTCTCCAGTTCGTACAGGATCAGCTCAAGTAGCATGAGAAAAGCATCTCTGTGCTTCAGACTCAGTACAGGGAGATCCGGCGTGGCAACCTCTATCAGCCTGCTCCTGCAGCAGAGCGAGTAGCCAATGCCGCTAACAGCCAGGCTGCACCTGCTGCTGCATCTCCTGCGGTTCCTCCTCCTACTAGAGCCCGTGCTGAGCCTCCTACTGCAGCTGCAAATGCCTTTGGCTCCTGCCCTTCGGCCCTGCCTCGTTTTGTCCATGGCAAAACTGACGTTGAGACTTGGCTCTCCATTGCGGAGGACTTTATGTCCATCCACAATGTGCGTAGCGAGGCTCGCGTGGTCGCTGCGACCCTTGCCCTGGACGACACTGCGAGCAAGTTGGTGTATGCCAACAAGCGCCACGCAGAGGCGAATGGCCATCCTTTTGGCTGGGAGGAGTTCAAAGCGGCCATGCTGACGGCGTTCCTGGTGCAGCACCCGGCGCTCGAGGTGCGTAGCCGCCTGGAGAACATCCAGTGCGGTGACCAGCCTGTACGCGAGTACGCCAAGGAGTTTGAGAAAACTCTGTCGCTGCTGAAGACTGCTCTTCCTGAGAGCGAGGTCATCCACCAGTTCTTCAAGGGTCTCCCCGAGCACATCAAGCGTGTGCATGTGGTGAAGGGGGAGCACAAGTGGAAGACCTACAAGGAGTGTAAGGAGCAGGTCATCAGCACGGATGTCCACTTCCGGGCGTACCTGGACCTCAAGAACACTCGTGCTCAGCAGCAGCCTAGTGCCGAAGGCCCTAGGGGGGGTGGTAGCAGGACCCAGGCACCCAGGGGCGGTGGCTCTTGGAAGAGGCCTTATCAGTAGAGGGGAGAATCATCTGGGACTCAGTCCAAGAGGGCCCACGCTGGGCCTCCCAAGGATCCTCAGGATGAGGATAAGCCTCCGGCGGGCTGCCGCATCTGCGGCAAGCCCGGCCACAAGGCCTACCACTGCCGCTGGAGGAAGTCCGTCAAGAACTCCGGCAAGCCCAACCAGGGCAAGAAGCCGGATGGTTCGGGCCCTTCGGGTTCGAAGGATTTTCCGAAGTCCAACTAGGGGGTGGGTACCTAGTTGGTGAGCGAGATCGAGTAGGTGAGGCTTATGTCCTTCGTGATGAGGATTTGCTAAAGCTAGAGAAGCTTGCATCTTGCAAAATCGCTTGTTTGTATGCCTCTTCTATTAATGAAAAATCTGTTTTTAAAACTCGATCATACCCACTTGAAAACATTTCAATTGAATCTTTGAGAGATAAATTTTCAATCATCTCTTGCTCGTTCAACGAGTTGCCAGCAATCATGGATATTGTGGACCGTTGTGTCCAAGAGCACCCGCTCACATCAGTGGGATTGGTGACTCGAATCGTGAAAGGAGAATTATTCCGCCGATTTCACGAATGGCATATCCTGGCAACGTGGGACAAAGGGCACCATGTCTGGTGGACCAGCTCCCAAAGGTTTGGACGTGCTCACAACAAATTTAGGGCGTACTATCGACCCCCTAAACTAGTTGTCGTTTGTCCCATTCGTCCAAGATTCCAACAGAATCTACTGTTATCTGGACGCATGAACGGGGACGAAGCTAGGATTCTCGTCGATACGGGCGCGTCGGTTTCTCTTTTTGATGAAACTTGGGTTACGATGCACAACGTCCTCGTTGCAGGACCGTCTTGTCCCATTCGCTTGGGTGACGATCGTGTCATTCCAAGTAAAGGACAGACACATATCGACATGAATGTATAGGATTACAGCGAAACAATTCGCGTGTATGTCCTGCCACTTTTGTCAGGTGTCGACCTCATCCTGGGCATGGATTGGTTGCGAGCCAACGAAGTCATTCTGGACTTCCAGTACAACATTGTCTCGTTCAACAAGAACGGAAAGGCAATCCAGTGGCAAGTCAATGATTCTTTGCTCACAGACACACAGACGCCGGAACGTCCTAGCGCGCTGTGTGTGTTGGCCAACCAGTTCGGGCATTTTGTTAAATCAGCTGATACACTATTCGTGGTACAGCTTGAAAATGTCGAGGCCTCGGAGCCAGCAATTGAGGATTTCCCTCCTCAAATGAAAATACTGGCAGATGAATTCAAGGAAGTATTTGAAGCCATCCCCGATGGACTTCCACCTGACCGCGCAGTGGGCCATACCATCCCTGTTGAACCAGGAAAGGTTCCACCCTTTCGACCTCTGTATCGCCTCAGTCCAGCTGAGTACGAGGAGGCTAAACAACAGATCGAGGAATACCTCAGAAAAGGATGGATTGAACCCAGTGCATCCCCTTACGGAGCACCGATTTTGTTCGTTAACAAGAAGGGCGGAGGATTACGCATGTGCGTAGATTACCGTGCCTTGAACAAGATTACGGTGAAGAACCGATACCCTCTACCACGCATAGAGGATTCGTTTGATCGGCTCCAAGGAGCTCAGTGGTTCAGCGCGCTGGACTTAGCTCAAGGCTATCATCAGCTGCGCATCACTGAGGAAGATGTTCCCAAAACGGCTTTTCGAACGCCGTTTGGACATTTTCAGTGGCGTGTGTTAAGTTTTGGCTTGACAAATGCTCCAGCGTCATTTCAACGTGCAATGAATGACGTATTTCGGGAGGCAATCGGCCAATTCGTCTTGGTATACTTGGATGATATCCTCGTTTACTCAAAGACTGAAGAAGAACACACGCAACACCTGAAGTGGGTGTTATGAAAATTGCGAGAGCACAAGTTCTATGCTCGGTTGTGGAAGTGTCACTTCTATAAACGCGAGCTGGAATATCTTGGTCACTTGGTAGGCAAAGATGGCCTAAAAGTTGATCCAAAGAAAGTGGCGGCAGTCCAACAGTGGCCCGTTCCACAGGACGTGGGACAGGTCAGATCATTTCTTGGACTTGCAAATTATTTTCGACGTTTCTTGGAGAATTATTCCTCCGTAGTCGCCCCACTGACTGCCCTTACTCGCAAGGGTAATGCTTGGCAGTGGACCGATCAGTGCCAGAAGGCATTTGAGGAGGTGAAAACCATGCTGACCAACGCTCCAGTGCTGGCATTGCCAGACCCGTCTAAGCCCTACGAGGTAGTAACTGATGCCTCGACAGTAGGGATTGGAGCAGTTCTTTTGCAAGAAGGACGCCCCGTGGCATTTGAGAGTAGAAAGCTTTCCTCGGCTGAGCAGCGCTATACAACTTCCAAACAGGAATTGTTGGCAGTTGTGCATGCGCTACGAACACGGAGATGTTATCTCGAAGGTGTTGACTTCGTGGTCACGACCGACCACTGTCCGAACACCTATTTTGCCACTCAAGCCACACTCACCCGCCGTCAAGCTCGATGGGCTGAACTCCTCAGTGGGTTCACCTACGATATTCGATATCGAGCGGGCTCGACGAACATGGCTGATCCTCTGAGCAGACAGCCGATTGGTGCAGCCACGAGTGTTGATGATAATGAGCATGAAGCAGTGTTTGCTGCTTGTTTCAACATTCTCGCAGCTGCTCGAGTGAGCGAGATTGCCTTTGGTGGTTTTCTGAAACGCATCCGCGCAGGGTATAATATTGACCCTTGGTTTCAGAACCCACAGAATACAAACAATCTCTTGTGGGAGCATGAGCTCTGGTGGCACAAGAAAGAAATTGTTGTCCCACACGTGGGGAACCTGCGGAATGATATTCTAGCGGAAGTGCACGCCACTAAGTATGGAGGACACCTGGGTGTCAAGAAAACCCGGTGGGCTCTCAGTGATGTATACTGGTGGCCGGGATTGGGCATCGAGGTCCAGCAGTTTGTAACTCGCTGTGACACGTGTGCACGGAACAAGCCAAGCACACAGAAGCCTGGTGGTTTGCTTCAACCACTCGAGATTCCCGATGAACCTTGGGAGAGTGTATCGATGGATTTTATCACCGATCTCCCCAAGACGCGAGATGGTCATACAGCGATACTGGTGTTTGTTGATCGCTTGACCAAAATGGTGCACTTCGTGCCCACGACGACTGACGTGTCTGCGGAGGATACGGCAAAGTTGTTTGTGACGCACGTTTTCCGCTTACACGGTTTGCCTCGTGTGATGGTGTCTGACCGAGACCCGCGCTTCACAAGCCGGTTCTGGCAAGAGGTCATTAAGACACTGGGAACGAAACTCAAGATGTCGTCTGCTTTCCACCCACAAACGGATGGACAGACAGAGCGGACCAACCGCACTCTTGAGCAAATGCTTCGTTCTTTCATAAGCCCAACTCAGGACGATTGGGATGAATTGTTGCCAGTCGTAGAATTCGCTGTGAACAATTCTGTGCATGAAAGCACACATGAGAAACCCTTTGTCCTGAACTGTGGTCGGCACCCCACAACCCCTGCGACGCATGGGATTAAGAATCTCAAAATCCCTGCCGCAAAGGACTTTATTGAAAAACAGCAAGCGGCTTTGAAGTCCGCTCGCCATTGGCTGCAGCTTGCCCAACAGAGGCAAAAGTCCTATGCCGACATGAAACGCCGGGAAGTCGTCTTTGCATTTGGCGACAAAGTATTACTAAGTACGAAGAACATTCGTCTTAAGATCCCGGGAGCACGAAAGCTCTTCCCTCGTTGGATTGGGCCCTTCGAGGTGATTGCACGAGTTGGTGAGGTCGCATATAGGCTCAAGTTGCCTGCGACATTGCAGATTCACAACGTCTTCCACGTGTCTCTGTTGAATAAGTATGTTGCTGAAGGCAAGTACTTACCGCCACCAACTATCGTTCTCGAGAAGGAACTCTTTTACGAAGTCGAGCGTGTGCTTACGCACCGTGATCGACAACGCGGCCGCAAAACAGTTCGTGAGTTCCTAATTCAGTGGAAAGGCTATGGGCCGGAACACAACTCATGGAAGCCTGAGGAACACTTGACCGAAGCAGCGGTTCAAGCGTATATGGAAGACCTGGCTCTACGAGCCGGCCCACAACCAGTGGACGGGGTTGACCCTGGTCGTAATGTGGTGCGCCGTGCTCGAAGCACTCGTCCTCAGAAGCACCCT